CAGTCACATCAGTCTCTGTACAGAGGAGCTTACACTCTAATGTCCCCTCCCCCCCCACAGTCACATCAGTCTCTTCAGACAGCCGGACCGCCCTATCGTGCTGCAGAATGGGACCGGAGTCCAGGGACCTGGAATCGCACTAACAGCACGCACACTGCCCTTCACCCTCCCATGTGACCCGAGGACGCCGGGGCCGATCCGGCTTCTTATCTCCTCTATAAATGCCGATCACTTCCCGTCGCAGAGCACAACCTGCCAGAGAGACATAAAAGTTTATCACAGAGCTGAGAATGGGAGGAGCCACAAAGGGAAGAAACCTCAGTTACTGCAGACACCAGAGCCGGAGAGGGCCACGCCGGAGTACAGGGACCTGCACCAGAGCCGGAGAGGGCCACGCCGGAGTACAGGGACCTGCACCAGAGCCGGAGAGGGCCACGCCGGAGTACAGGGACCTGCATCAGAGACTGTGTATGGTCCCGGCGATGTGTTCTCAGGACCTACAAAGGAGACTGCGGATAGTACCGGGGGATTTAAGCCGAGGACCATTGCCAGCGGTTGTGTCCCAGGGGGACTGTGAGCCGAGTCTCAGAGGTTGTGCAGGGACTGTCTGAGGGGGACTGATCACCGCGTCCCGGTGCACAAACAATGGAAGAAGATTTCTTTGAAACAACCGCAATGGCCTCTACGCTGAACGTCAGCTGGCAGTGTGACGTAAACAAGAACTTTACCTTTCTGTACCTGTCGTCGGTCTACATGGTAGTGTTCGTTGTCGGCTTGCTGGGGAATGCGTGTGGCCTGTGGAATCTGTGTGTGAACCGGAAGAAGTGGACGTCCCTCAATGTCTTTGTGTTGAATTTGGGGATTGCCGACCTCCTGTATGTGGTGACGTTGCCTTTCTTTGTGTCCTATTACCTGAACGGAGGCGTCTGGAGGTTCGGTTACGGTTTCTGCCGGCTGGCCCGCCTCTCTTTTCACATCAACATGTCCGCCAGCATCAGCTTCCTCACCTGCGTCAGCATCCAGCGCTACCTGGGAATCGTCCATCCCATGCAGATGATGGGGCGCCTCCGCAAGTTGCGTCTTTCCTTCTATGTCAGCGTCCTGGTCTGGGTTCTGGTCATCGTTCAGATCTCGCCCAATCTTTACTTTACAAACTCCGCCCACAATTCCACCTATTGCTACGACTCCGCCATTAATGACGACGTGGAATTGTACGCCCCGTACACCATGACCATCACCGCCACCGGATTCCTAATCCCGTTCATTCTCATTGTAGCATGTTACTCGCGTGTGCTCGCCGTCCTCGCCAAGAACACCAACGTGGATACAGACCTGAAGAGCCGGAGCGTGAAGCTGGTCCTCATCATCCTGGTCTTGTTTGCCGTCTGCTTCTTCCCGTATTACATCTTCCGGAACATCAATCTGCTCTCCCGGTTGTGGCAGCTGAGGGGACGCTGCACCCAGACCTTGAGGAACCTCTACATCTCCTACCAGGTCACCAGGGGCCTGGCCAGCATGAATAGCGCCATTAACCCCTTGCTGTATCTGGTGACCAATGAAAACTTTGTATCCAAGTTCCGCCAGATGCAGAAACAAGCGTGGCGCACATTGGTGTATCTGGGCCGCCGACGCACCACGTCTGATATCCAAATGCTAAACCGGGAAACTAACAAAGAACAGGAGGACATGTGTGAGGAAGTCGTATGGGACATTCCCTCTGTGTAGCATCACCGTCACCGAGCTGTGTCCGAGCCTTCTACGGCTCTG